TTCGTCTCAGTAAGAGGAATCGTATGATACCAAAATTACTCAATTCTAATCAGTGAATCACGAGATATTATCAAAAACGTGAGTGCGTCACAATACCCACCTGCGTCATAATACCCGACTCTACCTTATCTATATTATTTTATTTAGTAAAAAATTTTATATTTTTCTTTTTTTATTACTTTTTGTTTAACGTTAATATATTTTGAGAAAAATCTTAAGTAGATTTAAATGAGCACGAAGTGGATAATATGAGCCCGAAACAACCCAATGTGAGTTTATTTTTTGCTACATTAAATTAATAAAAATACCCGCAGTTTTGTATAGAATCAAAAAACTTTCAGGCTTAACATATTGCACTTTTTTTCTAAACATTAGCATTAGTTTTTTAATATACAATAAATCAAAATAAAAAGAAAAATTAATCAAAAATTATTCTATATCATCACTTAAACTAGGTGGGTACGGTACAGGGTTTCCATCTGCATCAACAATGCCCCATGTCTTACTAACTTCGTTACCCATTTCTAATTCTAAAACGGCACCATCAGCAATATCACTATGTCTAAACCAAGTTTTATACCACTCCTTATCATTGATTTTGGCAGATTGTACGTATACATTATCATTTGATAAATTATTTGCTATTATAGAAAATGTTATAATAGGAGATACTGATAAAATTATTGTTACTTGATCGAAATGTGGAGAATTGATAAGATAAACATCTTGGCCAGCACTTGTAATGTGAAATAGAGTTCAAGTAAGAGATTAAATAATAAATAAAGAATAAGAAAAAAAAAAAGAAAACTCACAGTGGAAATATTCCCATCGCATGGAAAACAAACCAACTTCCCATAGCACCTGAATCATCATTTCCTAACATATATAATGTAAACATTAGAATAGAGTATATAATTTTTTTATAAAATGAATTAAACATAGATTTTTAAATTTACCTGGAATACCGCCTCTGCCACTACCAAAATGTTTCTTTAAAATATCTCTTATGACATCAACTGATTTATATTGTTTGCCAATAAAATGGTATAAACAAGTATGGAAAAATGAAGGCTCATTACCGATATTATAATATGAAGATAAATAACCGAATGAAAAAGTTTTATCAAGACGTTTTTCGAAAGCGTCCGGACCACCTGATAAAGAGATTAATCTTTTGACATCTACAGTAATTGTAAGAAATATATAAGTGAATATAAGATAAAAAAAAAAAAAAACAGTTGGATCATTGTTAAAGACCTTTGAAATTATACTTTACCGTGCGGGACATCAAGGCTATATTCCCAAGAAGTACCCTCATAAAATGGAGTTTCACCACCATTTTTAGACAAAACATGCCATCCTTTATCAAAAGTACCATCCAGAAATCTAGGTAAGATAAATCCTTTAACATCTTTTACATTAACAAAAACTTTATAAGTATAAAATAGTTTATATAAGAATAAATAAATAGTTAAATTATGGTTATCAATACCTTGAGATGTCTTGTTGGGACACCATAGATTTTCCCAATTACTGGCTCTTTTTTTGTATTTAACATAATCATCATACTTTTTCATTGCTATTATCGATATTGCATGCATTGCATAAATATCGGATTTTTATTTAAAAAAAATAATGAAGTTAATGTTTTTAATTACCTTTAGCCATAAGAGCAATTGAATAATCATTGGCCGAATATTCCAAAGTTCTGCTACATGGATTAATAGCATAAGCAGTTCTTCGATGAACTGGAGAAGGAATATAACCAATTTCTTTATAACTTTTAAGAAATAGCCTTCCCTCATAAAGACCTTGCTCCCATGGATCGACTTCGGCATCTTTCAATAATGCTTCGTATGCAAGTTTCCAATTAACCTTATACATCCCTAATTTTTTTAAATATAATTCGGCCTACAACCAAACATAGGTTAAGATCCATACATAAATATTTTTTTTAAATTATAAAAATTAGATATACTGTATATATAATATATTTACCACCAACATATCGGCGTTTGAACCACCCTGTGTTATACCATTATCCATTCCACTTCGTCCGTCAGGCATATATCCCACGTGTTCATATATATCAATAAGAGATCGAACTATGTCAATAGCTCGTTCAGGTTGAAAAAGTGTGAAAAGTGGATTTGTTGTCCTAATTAAATTAGCGAATAAAATCAATTAAAAAAATTTTATTAATATATAAGAGTGTCAATTGAGTATGATAATTACCTAAATGTGTCCCACTACATAAATACAAAAAATATTATATAATAAATATATTATTTTTTATAATCATTATTTAAAAAAAATTTAATATATATATAATAATTGAATTTACATACTAGAGTATAAAAATCATCATAGTTTGGTATTGGTCTACCGTAATAATCAAAAGATGACCATTTTGGATTTTCACCGGTTCTATAAAGTCATAAATTAGAATAAAAGAATAAGATAAAAATTATGAAAAAAAAAATAAAGGACTCACCTATCACTTGGCATAATCATAGTTCTATATAAACTAGAATAAAAAATTTTATGCAAATCTTTTGAACCACCATCAACAATAATTCTTGATAATTCAGTTTCCCATGCATCCACAACACTTTGTTTCGTAGCATCAAAATCAAAATCAGGAACTTCAGTTTCAGCACTTTTACAAGCTTGATCCGCAGAGATAAAAGATATTCCGACTCTAGATTGAATAACAGGATTTCTAATTGTATTGAATGTTAAGATTGCACCTAAGGAGAAATCATTGCCACCAACTTGATATGTTGAATTCTTAGTAATAGCTCCATCCCAGAACGTTGCAAATCCAGTAGCATTTGTATCAAATTGAGAGCAAAAGTAGACTTTATACGGGCCACCATTATTCCAACCACCAGCATATTGGCCTATACCTTTAATTTGGTTATGAGAAACAGAATATATCGCACCATTTATCCAATGGGAACTGATAAAAATTTTTTAATAAATACAAAGTAAAAAAAGAGAATATAAAAGCGTAGTAATACAGTATGATATGGACTAAGTGATAAAAAAGGAACAAATTAACAATTATTCAAAAAAAAACTTTTTTTTTTTTTTGAGTTTAACTAATCCAAAATTATTCGGGTGCATTTTTTACTTATGGAATAATGATAATAAAATTTTATAGTAAAGTTTGTATTATTATTTTATAGATTTCATAATATTTCCACAAAACTTACTCTTGTTTGAACTTTTTTTATTGCACCTAATCCATATATTCAAAAAAACGTAAAACACAAACCCATAACCTTGAGTTAAAATATGAGACAAGTCAATGATCACCTGAGCATTATAAGAAGGGGGAAATGTGTATCTATGAAAACCGGTACGTCGACCAGCAGTTAATTCAACCATGATATCATAACTCCTAAGGCCAAATTTAGCATAGCCGAGTTCAAAATGTTCAAATGATCGAGCCGAACTATAAAAATTAATATTCAATTCATCTAAAGGCTTTACAACAGGATATTGACTGATAACACCGTATTTTGGCTCGCCTAATTATACAATATTATGAAACTAAATGACAAAAGATATAAATCGGTTTATATAATAAAGTTAATATTCTAACCTCCTGTTCCGCTGACATGTAGATCTAAATTTTAATAAGAAATAAAGATATTCATTTACAAAAAATACGATTCACAATATGAATACTACCAGATGATGCTTATAAGTTAAGTTCTTAAGTATTTGATAGTTTCCACTTTATGAAATTTAATTTCTGATGATGCTATTTAATGTTAAATAGTGATATTTGAAATTGAATTTCGTAAGATTCTGAAGTTCCAGAACCTTATTCGTAAGGTACATATGCAATACGTATGTACTTAGGTAGAAAAAAACCCATTAAATGCGTAAGAACATAACTTACAAACAATAAGTTAATGATTATGCATGCGTACGTACGAGTAATACCCATGATATTACCATCAACCGTATATCTAAAAAATTCGGCAAATATTTTTTAGTACTAATAATTTGTTAAACAAGAACTATATTTTTTTTAATGTAATAAATAAAATACTCTACCCGGCATGGAAATCATGTTCATTATTTGTGTCGAACCCTACTTTGACAAGCCCATAAGGATGACAGGGACCGTTAAAAACGTGGCCACCTTTTTTAATAAAGACACAATTAGCACCGATAAAATTAAGAAATTTCATTGAAATGAAAGTATTTATACCATTTTCGGTTCCAATTGTAGGATCAACTAGATCCGCAAGGCCTTTTAAAACATAAGTCTCGTAATCATCAGTAAATAAATGAGGTATTACATCAAAATACCATTCTATTATGAGATTTATTTTCAAACTAAACACAAAGGCAAAAATCAGAAACAGTAAAATTGCCAAGACAAGTTTTTTTTTCCTTCTAATCATGTGATATAAGTGTATGTATCTGATATCGATATAAAGATTGTTAAAATTTAATGCGTACGTACGTACGTATGTATGTATGAATTGAGTTCTTTATGCAGTTCCAGATTTCATTTTAATCGTTTTAGTAAAAAGGGTCCAAAAAGGGAAAGCAATTTCTAGCATGCCTCACAATTATGCAACCGCTTAATTTCATGCAGAGGAACACATGTGAAACACTAATTATTTTTTTGAGTGGAAAGGGTATCCATATGTAGTGTTTCACTGGTCGATCAAAATTAATCAGCGATCAATCGGCTTGGCTGGCTTGGCTGATTTTTATCGTTATTACAGTCCGGTATTTTTCCAAATAAGGAAATTAAATAACAAACTTCTAGAAATTTATGTAATTCCAATTGTGAAACATGCAGATTAAAAATCCACGGGGATCCACGGGGCTTAAAATATAGTTGTCTTACAATAAAAAACAAAAGCTGATTGGTGCAAATTTAGCCCCATAGAATTTTCTCTATTATTGATATATATATATATATGTAGTTATATCATATTAGATATTCGATTAATTTGATTGGTCAATGATCACGCTTATTGTTTAAATTTGGGTCAGTACACAGCAAAACGAGTAGAGTTTGGAACCGGATTTCGTTTTTCGATTCGGATTAAATTTAATTAATAAAAATATGCATCGAATTTAAATCCG